CTTGCACCAAAGCATTTGGTGTGGAAATTCCACAAGGAGGATCTGAATTCTCCCTCTTCCTAGCAACTGTTAGAACCATGGAGACTAGATAGACCGTGACTTTGCTGACTTCTCTCAGGTAGTATTTGAAAAACGAAATTCAAGATAATGCTTTGTTAGTATGCTATTTCTCTTACATTCTTATCTTCCCTATCTTAAAACATCATTAGTCATCATAGAAAGGTGCTAAGAAGGGAGGCCATCGAACATTTTCAACGATCCCAGGAGTCAAATCTGTATCTGGTGGCTTATGGATATTATTAAACATGGAAGTGGAGGAGTGTAAACTATGATTAGAAAACCGTATGGCAAGTGATTTAAATGTTTTCTCGCTAGGGGGCTGAAACACAGTTTTACTGAACAAGGAGAATGTAATAAAAGAAATAAGCATGACTGCAGAACATGGAACCAACTTTGCAGAGGTGTTGTGAGACTTAATTTTGTTTTCGAGTGCCATAGAATTTTTCTATGAGAAGTGCTTAATGAGTTCAAATGCCAATACAGTCTCATAATCTTCAGAGACTTAAAGAATAAATAATTAAGTCTCTGAAGGTTATGAAAGGCGAGTGGTAGCGATTGAAGCACCATAACGAAACACTTTAAAAGTAGACTAGAAAAAACAATAAAAAATAAGTATGGGCTGTCAGTCTAATACACTAGTAGTTTTTTTTATTGCTAATTTCTGAGACAGAACTGCTTGAAATTATCTCTTTGACACGGGTCTTAGTAGTAGCTTTGCATTTTGGAAAAAAAAAATTTGAACTCTGAACAAGAGCTTAAATGTAATACAATACAAATGTGTTTAGCTAGTCCTAAAAGTGCAATTGTATTTGTTACAGGAATTCTCTGTCAAGATTGTTTCCCCCTATGTGGGCATCTGAAGTTGGAAACAATGGTGATTTCTCAGGTCTTTCTTCTAAGCACCCTTTACAAAGTAAAGATTTGCCAAACCTGTTTGGCACACCGAACTTCTACCAAGGACACTTGCAAAAGTCAACTGAAGTGGAGTCTTTACACAGAGAATTTGAAGATCTCCATTTTCTAGAGTCTTGGCTTTCTCCTTCTGACCCTTATACTCAGCCATCTGATGACATCTTGAACATTTATCCTGAAAATTCTGCTTTTCAAAGAATGAACATGAGGAAGGATTAGCATTTCAAAATGTAGAATTTAATCAGCACGTGTGCAATTATGATAAGATGAAATTAAATGGAGACACTGAAAAGAGCAGCTCTGATTTTAGTAATTTTTCTTCTCAGTGCAGAATTAAAGATGGAACTGATATTCAGAACGAGTATTGGGAAACTAACAGAGCAAGAGGCAACCTTATGAAAAATGACAAACAAGTGCATGCAAAGTACTCCAATGATCTATCTAGTCCACCTGCTGGTCGTGTGTGGGGCAAAGCGTTCCAGGACAACCACTTGTTTTCTAAAAAATATGAAGATTTTACAGTTTCTCATAAATCACAGCAATCTATTCACCCATCCCTATATTTTCTCAATCAACCTTTTGTTAAAGAAAATAGTTTTTCTGGAGGAACAACTAAAAGTCCACAGGAAACTTGCATGCAAAATGGCCATAATAGCTTTGATTTGGGAGAAACCTTCAATAACACTGAATGTAAGAGCCATATTAATCCTAAAGAATGTTCTCAGAAATCTTCTGAATTTCATTTATCTGTAAAAACTACTCTACAAAATGGGAACTATCATTCACCTTACCATGGATATAGATGGCTGGATGGTAAAATCTTAAGTCCCACAACTACATCAGATATTGCATATAGGAAGCAAAACCAAGCAGTAACAAGTCCGCAGTCCTCTTCAGGTGTTTCAGCTATGTCCAGTGAATCTCCCATACACCAGTCTGGAACCCAGCCCTCTTACTATTCCCAGTTATCACCAGTACCCTCTTCAAGGAAAGATGGAAGGGTACAAATATCAAATAGTGTTCCTAGTAATTTGGGGGGTTCACATTTCTTTGCAGAAAATCAGAAACAAGTTAAACCTATTGGACATTACCAGCATGATTCATTGACTAACAAGAGAGGCCAGTATCATAAAGTACCCGTTAATTTGTCACACAACTGGTTAACACAGCAGAATTCTGCAGGTGATGAATCTGAAAAGTATCATAGGTTTCGCAAAAAGCAAAGCCAAGATAACTGTAATAAAGATGATAGAAGAGGCAGAAGGAATTGGATACCCCATCCTGGATATTCAGGACAAAACCAGCAACAGTTCAACGTGTTCCGAAAGAAACAAGAACAAAACGGTGGCAACATGTCTGACTTCATCAATACTTCGTTTCTTCCAACTTTCCCATTAATGTCCGAGTTCAAGCAAAATCCCAATTTTGCTCAGTTTAATCCCCATCCGTTTCCATCAGCAAATAATTTTGCTTTTCCTCCATCACCATTTCCCTTCTCTGAGCTTCTTGATCTTTTTCACTATGACGATTTTAACCATTTGCATCCCCTTATTAATGATCTATTTTGTGGGGAGTTAAGTGTGCCATACTTTCCCTTTCCAACTCCTTTTAACAAGTATAGGCCTCCAAGAACTCGCAGTGGACCTGCTAATGAGCTTCATATTCGTCTGGAGGAGTGTTATGATCAGTGGAGAGCTCTGGAGAAGGAGAGGAAAAAGGTAATCATGTCTATCCTGATAGATTTGTGTATATAGGATGGTGATTACAAAGGAATAGGTGGGTGAAGTAGAAATTCTTGCATCTTATTGGTGAAAAGAAAGCAGTCTTGCTGCTTTTTTGAAATATTGTGACTTTCATTCTGTTCTTAATACTTTGAGCTCCATCTGCAACAATCTTTTGACAACGAGGAGTCCTGTGGCACCCTAAAAGACTAATATTTATTTGGGCATAAACTTCCGTGGGTAGCCCATGCATCCCGCCACGTATCTGGCAAAGTGGTTTTTACGCACGAAGGCGGATGCCCAAATAAATATTAATCTTTAAGATGCCTCGTTGTTTTTGCAGATACAGACTCAGACAGCTACTCCTGTGAAATGTGTTATGACTATGTGCATGGTCAGAAGATACCAAACAGTATAAACGTCATACAACTGTGCATGAGACTGAGACTCATCTTTCATTTTCCAGCCCCACAGGGTTAGGACCACTTGTTCAGCAGTCATTTTCTTGAACTAAATTCACATGACACCAACGATTGGTTAACCAAATACCATCAAGCCCTCTTTGGACATAGTTCTTATATTATCTGGTGGCATGGGATCCTATTCTTTGGTTCATGTTGTTTAGTGTAAGATTGGTAGGCAATAGTTACTACCATCCATGGATCATGGAAGAAGTCCCTGATGTGACTTTTATAGCTAACGCCTGGATGGATGATAAAGCAGGGCCTTTATTGGTCCAGCTATTTTTGGACAATATTCAGTTCAGCATGAACCGAGTGGAGGCCAAAACGGTTGTTGTTTATATCTGACTTCAGATGTAAGGGAGATGTCATCTAAAATACTGTTTTGGGCTTTACCCAGGTCTGTTGTCATAGGTGAGTTTAATGTCCATGTGGATGACTTTTTTCAGGGCTGGTATCTTCTCACAGCCATTGTGTTTTAAACTTGAGATTATTCTTGGGGGCGTTAAACACCACCACTGCAGCAGTTGAGTACAATTCATGTACTTATTCATAATCTGTGGATTTGATTGAGAGCCCTTACCAAGGTATTATCCGAAGAAGGTAGTTGGGAATTCACATTTCTAATTTGGGGTGACAAAGCTAGAGTTTAACTCCCAAAGCCTGCGCAAGACCCTTTTATTTACTTGGGTCTGTCCCAAGACGGTTCAATGTTTTAAAGTAATTTTGTTTATTGGTTACAGATGTTGATTCTAGGTTTACGCTGTAAGGTAGGACTTGGAATTTTTGGAAGTATCCTCATTTTTACAGCCAGTTGTTGACAGTATAATGTTTAATGACTTCTTATTGTTGTAAATGCCCCCATCTCCTATGCGTCTAAGTAGTAGTGAAAAAATAAAAAGGCTTAGGTTTTAGGATAAAACTCATTTCTAAATATTTAAAAAGCATGTGTTTCTCTTCAGACTGAAGCTGATCTTGCAAGAAACTTTCCAGGAAAACGAGTATCTAGTTCAAATAATACTCCTGTTTCCCGACTTCCTGCTAACCCTTCAAGAGTGGATCGTTTGATTGTGGACCAATTACGAGAACAGGCCAGAGTAAGCATACTTGCCTGCAGAATTTTCTGTTATGTATTAGTAGCACCAGGTTATTTGTTTGTGGGCTTATATTTTGTGTAGGATTTTAAAAAATGAACACTTTTTTGGTGTTTTCAATATATTCTTTAGGTGCTCACCTTAATCAGAAAAATGGAAAGGCTTCGTGGTTCTCCTGTCCATGGGAATATATCCAATACTCTGGAACATCATTTAGAAGCCATTCATATTACACAAGTGAGGCGGAAAGATGAGATTGTTAATGCTGCCAATCCACAAAGACAAGGAGCACCTCGCTACAATAATGAAAAAGGTAAACACTTTTTCATTGCTTTGCAGTTTTAAAAATGAGGGTTTTTTCCTATTTGAAAAAGCAAATAGACAGGTTTTTGTGGACTTCTACTGTAATTGCCAGATTAGTTTGGGGCAGGTAGTTTGAGGAACTTATCCCAAACAAGGACAAAAATTGGCTTTTTAATGACAATTATCTCTTGGTACTTTTATTCATGCTAGCCCGAATCACATTTGCAGCCAGACCTGTTGTGGGTAATGCACTAGTTAAAAGGCAACTTTGGCTTCATCTGTAGGAGTTATATTTTCAAGCAAGTGGTTGCTACTTACTTTCATGGTGATGGGGATCTGCATAACCCACACGAGTATGATGGAGAATTTCAAATAGAACAAAGTATTTGTCTACCTCCACACGTACTCTAGAAAGACCACACATACTATAAACTTTGCATCTCCTTTCAGCCAGTCCACCTGCCACAAGAGAGACATCCTGTAGAGGCAAACTGAATGTTAGATCTTACAAGGATACAAGACAAGAGTTAGTCTTTCAGGGTTTTTTCTCCTTTGTGATTTTTGAGATGTTGCAGAGAGAGCTGGGATAAAGATGGATGGCAGCACTCCATCCAGCTACATCAAGAGAACATCCATCCATGCCAATAATACAGTTTTTGCTCCATGTTCTTGGCTGAATCTAGATTGCATAGGATCCAATAGCTTGGTTTCGGATCAATGAGATTAAAAGTGGTTTATTGCCAGCTTTGCTGGGAACCCTGAGAGTTTCATAATGGATACTAGCCTAGTCCAGTGCATCCAAGGTGTATTTCTTTAGGGTGTGTCTAGACTACATGGCTCCGTCGACAGAGCCATGTAGCATAGTTTATTTGGCATAGTCAAAGAAGCGGGGATTTAACAAGACATACCACAGCAGTCGACAGAGGCTTCCCTTGTCGACTGCGCTGTGTCTAGACTGCCGCGCTGTGCCGGATCAGCTGATTGTCAGCACAGCGCGGCACCCATTTTTATTTTAATGACGGGGGGTTATTTTAATCCCCCTT